ATATATATATATGTAAATATATAAAAATGCACAAAAATCCCCCTAAAACCCCAAAGAACAGGTTCCATCTGCAAGCAAATCAAACCAGAAACGGATTGGCTCCAGGGGATTTGCGTCATCTCTTCCACTTTTAAACACATACAACTTGTGTGGTGTGTATGACAAATAAATAACCTTGAGTATACATGAGAAACAATTAATAAAATCTGTCAGTATTTCAGTTATTAAGAAGACCATCAACCGCTTTAACATCAGAGGGCAGTTTTTTGTCTTTTGGCAGCTGATCTATCAATTTCAATAAAAATAAAAGCAAGAGAAACATTTACAGAACAACTGATGTTACTCTGTATTGTTTTTAGGTAATAAACTCCCTCTGAAACCAAGATTAAAGTATACATCAAAGTTAGCAAAAATACGAGTGAAGATACAAAAAGAAAAATATAATCGCTAATTAATTAGCTTATTTGTTTCATGCAGACAGATCTGCAAGGTAGAAGTGTGATCTTTCTACCCCTTATGGAGCAGATAAGATTTCTTTTCTAGAATTTTAATGTTAATTCTTTCTTGAGGACTCAGCTCAACAAGAAAAGCATATAGGCACTTGAAGACTCTCCAGAATCCTGCTGACACCATCTTGAGATCACTTCGTTTTACTTCTGCTGTGACTAACCTTGTTCTCACAGTTAATGAAGAAAAACTGATTATTTACAAAGATGTTATTCAAGTGCCTTCTACATTTTGCTTTCTTACCACAGTGCTGTGCAACTATTTTGAGCCTTCAGTTATTGTTTTTTTAGCTCCAGACAAAAATAGTTGCTGCTATTATTTAAATATGCAAATAAAAAAAACCCACAGTTTTTCCTCTAAATAACATCCATAGCTTTTTTTATGTGTTCACTGTCATCCAGTAATGTTAATAACTGGTTTTAAGTTATTCCATGACTGATAGTTTTCATTTGATCGCTTTTCAATGTTATTGCTACATTGACGTTGCGTGTTGGATACTAATCTGAAACATTTAGATGAGGTAGAGTAACATCTTAGTCTACTTTTCTTTGTTTATAGCTTCATCGATGTGGATCGGTTGCACAGTACCACTGGTTGAAATTCAGCCCACTACCATGACAGCGCCCCCACCGTGTTTACTTATTATTTTCAGTAGTCACAGTTGTTCCTTTGTCCTTTGACTCATTATCTGTTTCTGCATACTTTCAGTTTAGTTTTGTGTATTTTGACATACTTTAGTCTAATTTTCCTTGTTTTCTTGGGTTCATTGAGAGTAACTGTGATGAAGCATTGATCAGCAAAATAAATGAATGAATCAGAATCTAAATCATTTTTACTGGCCACGTTTGTGTGCACAGACAAGAAATATTTGGTTTCAAACGCTCACAGCGTACAGACATCATGTATAACTTATATAAACTCGGGGTGTCTGGAACATAAACCCCATGGTAAGTGAGGGACTACTGTACAGACCTTTTTTAAATACACCGAAGGAAAATAAAAAGGAGGCAGGTTGTGATAGTGCAAATATGCTTATTAACCGTTTCACAGCAAAGTAGCTGACTACTACCATGTGACACTGTCACATGGTAGTAGTCAAGGTGTTTATTTCGTTCATCAGAGAGACCGCCTGGGAGAAGAAACTGTCTCTGTGGTGGCTGGTTTTTGCAGAGAGCGCTCTGTGATTATGAATTATACTATGAATAATTATACTATGAATTATTATACTATAAATTAAGTGGCCAGATACAAGTGCTTTTTGTTTTCTTCAGAGCGTCACTTTTGGATATTTTTCATCTACTGGAGATGTTTTTCTAAACTTTTTTTTGTCCTGCACATGTCCAGTTTACTCTGCACACCATGGAAAGAGGGGGCTGTTAAACTAATAGCTCTTTGAGTATCACCTTATTGAGGCAAAACTACTATTTTATGTCTCTCTAACTGTTTTGTGTTTGGCACTTTCAAAGATTGAACTAAAGAAATTGGAACAAATTATGCGTTTTTGCTACTAACTGCAGGAAAGTGCCTAAAGTGCCAAGAAAGACAATTCCATAATAGATGTTAACTAAATTGTCAGTTATGTGTTGACAAAACACTGGTTTACCCACTTTGTTTCTTTTTTTTTTATGCTTGAATGATTCATAGGTCAGTGTTTTAAGAAGCTACAGCAAAAAGGTTGGACTGAAATTGAGTGAGGAAAAATCTACCACATTTTTTTAAATATCTTTGAAAGATTTTCAGAAGAAAATCTGATGCCACTGATGCGTAATGCTCCATTTTGGACTGTTTTACCATGTTAGCCTGATAATTATCAATTTTAAAAACATTTTTAAAATTGAACATTTTTGTCATTTTTTAGCGCCACTAACTTAGTGAATGAAATAAACTGCTAGTCATTGAAGGATTTTTTAAAAGATAAGTTTTACATAATGAACCGCTTCATTAAAATCAAAATTGTGATTTACGTTTATTTTTTTTATTAATAAAAGATTTAAAAGATGCGCTTTTCAGAAGCATTGAGGTAATCGTTTAACCTGTCTAGATCCAGAAAACACCCAGAAGCGATCTAAAAAGTCTAATATTAGGAAAGAGTGTACGTACATTGTTCTCATTTTTCTTTTGTTTTTAATTTTTGGCTTATTGTGCTCCCTCCTTTAGGCACGATCATTTAACCACAGTGTTGCAGCTGCTGCCATGCCGGCCTTCCTTCAGACCGTGAGTCATTGTCTATCCAGTGTCACGTTATCTTAAGAGACAAAAATATAGCATGTTACATGTCACTGATGTTTTCAGAAGTAATGTATCTGGAAGTCAAATGTCTTACAATCAGTAAAACTTTAGTTTATGCTTTCATTAAAAAAGATTCTCATAAATAACAGCAAAGTTTTGGCTTTTAAAATGTTAACTTATTCACATCAAGTACTTCTTTTGTTTTCATGGTATGTAGCACAAATACAAAACTTTCTTGGAAAAGATGGTTTCAAAGTTGTTGTGTTTTTGTTCTCCACTTTTAGACATTTTGTGTACATTTTATATCAGGTGCTCTGATCAGAAGACTGTTGAATTCTTGGGTTTTCCTGTCAAGTATTATACAATTCAACAATAATCACTTTCAGTTTAATTACAGTTACACATATGTTTAGATTTACTACTTTAGAGATGTAAAAATGTTTTGAGTCTTAATTTTGCTGAAATTTTATCAGAAGCACAATTGCTTGCTTGCAGTTAAGCAGTGACAGCATTCTGCTTCAAGGAGAAACCATTTGAGACTAGAGCATGTGTGTTCACATCTTCATTTACCCAAGAAATAACTCATCCATCTGTTGTATAGTCTAAATAAAGTTTGTCTCATCCAAGGATATTTTAATGTAAAACATATGTTTAATGTAAATCTTCCTAAAAATGTAAAAAATTCACGTAAATGACCTCATTTTGTGTATTGTTTTGTGTGTTGCCTGTTTTTCTGTCTGTACAGCACTTTGGTTGGCCTTGTCGCTGTTTTAAGTGCTCTATAAATAGTATGGTATGGTACGACACACAATTGGCTGATTGATGGATAAGCCGCACTATCGGCATGTAATTTTTATTTAAAATAAATTATTTTAAATTATTTAGCACCTGCCGCACCTCTGCACAGCCAACACTGCAGGATAAGCTTCCTCCTGCAGCTGATCAGCTGATCTCCGTGCAGAGCGGAGAAGTGGGCATCGCCAAGAGCGCTTGCAGGTGGCAAAGAGTGGCAGAGAGCTGAAATCATGACATTCTGTGCTCTTTTAGAGCATTTAGAGTTTAGAAACATTGTTTAGAATATTGCAAGAGTGTGGGAAGGGTTTAAAACACCTTAATATATATATAAATACTAAAATAAACTACTACTTACTACTTGTACTACTATTCCTACTTCGCGGTTTTTCACTTATCACGGGGCTTCAGGGTACGGATCCCCCACGATAAACGAGGGGCTACTGTTCGGATGAGTTACTCATCGTGTGCCACAACATCATAAACTGGGCCACCATTTTTTATTAGTTGGGTCATTTGTGCCTTTCCTTTTTATGTACAGACACAAATGTTCTAGAATTGTGCCACTCAAAGATGCTGCATGTTCGAGTAGCTCTCTTACATTCATTCTGAGATATTGTTTTTGAAAACTTTAATTCCTATTTTTTTCTGGATGTAAATCACTTTTCTTTGGATGATTGCTTCCTCTGGTATTGGATGCTGTGCAGCTGGAAGAATTTTTACTGAAACCTTTTTACTTTTGGACATTTGTTATGATGCGTAACCATAACAACAAACAGGGTTGTTGTTTTTTTTTACTACCGGGAGCAGCTGATTAACATCTCAAAAGCATAAATACCTCAAACTAAATGAGTTAAAAAGGAGGTGCCGTGGATGGATTCCTATCAACCTGGTGGCGGTGCTCAAGTACCTGACCGCCAAAATCCTGGAGCAAGCGTGAAACATGGCTCGTGACAACGGGAAGACTGGATTCGTCTCCTGGCACCTGCAGCTGGCTGTGCTATCTGCGGCAACGAGGAGCTCTGCAGGCTGCTGGAAGGAGTGGCCATCGCTCGGAGAGGAGTTCTGCCTGGCATTTGGGCAGTCCTTCGGGTGGAGGACCAAGAGACCCGCCAGGTCCAAGTGGACCGATCTGCATCTGCAACCAGATTCTTCAGATCTGCTCAAGACAGACTACCGCTACATGAGATCCTTCCTGCCCACAGCCATCAGCATCTATAACAACTCTTTAATGAATCCAGGATGATGAGTTACAACAACATTTAACTTCCCTTTGGGATTAATATAGTATTTCTGAATTGAATTGAATTTGAAATAAACTTGTTGGTACCCTTACACAATAAGTAAAAAATGATTAAATAAAACTCAACGAACTACGACTGGCGTGACCGTCGCTCTAGTTTTGTTTCATCAGTCCTAAAAACACCTCGACTTGGAGGCTTGTCAACATGCATATTGTCAAATTCCAGTTGGCCTTTTTGTGTGTTTTCCTGTTAATAACAGCCTTTTTCCTGTTTTCTATCAAATCGATGTAATTTGACTTTGTAAATTTGGACTTGTTAGCAACCGTGAACTCCAGAAACCTGAAACAAAAGATTGTTCTTTAATCTTAAAAAGGGTTATTTAAATGGACTGAATAGTATAGGTTTCTGCACACAGAGGTTGGTTTCTGCTGCTAGATGAACACATTGAAAATTTTAAATTCATGATGGTACACTGACCTGCTGTAACTACAAGAGACCTAAAAGGCACAGTATAGCTCTCCTACAATCCGCAATAAAATACTCTCCCCCATGAATGTAGTATTAAAATGATTTTCATGCTGCAGTGGACCTTTTACAGTGCAGCAAAAAGAGGCATTTGTGCATGTGCGATGTTGGTCCACATGGGAAAACAGGCACAGGTTCTGATCAGAATGCTGAAAATTTAATTCAGATAAATCACAGGCTTGGATAAATGACAAAGTGGTCCCAATGAAGCTTGAGGGACATGAGTCATACCAGTCTGCTTCTGTGCCTTTTTCATTTAAACACTAAAGACTTATTTACACCTGCCTGAATGGTAAAACCATTACAGTGACAGATCCATATCAAAGCTTAGAGAAAAATTAGCTAACTGTGTGAAGTTCTTTATGATAATTGTCATTATTTATTGTTTGTCTTCTCACCAAATTTTCTAATTGTGCAAAATAAAATACAAGCATCTGCTGTAGGGAGGATTATTTGGCAACAAATGTTCACTTTCCCTACGCAGTGTAGGTGGAATTTTGATCTTTGTGCCCAAATGGAAATGCCTCCAGACATCCAGTTTTGAAAAACACATTTGCAGCCTCTGATTTACCAGCATTTTTTTTCCACTGAGATATGTGGATGGAGAAACAGCCATCTAATCAGAGAGCTTCGCAGGAGGCATAAAGACGGCCAGCATTATGTTGCTTTTCGACTTGCTCACCGTACAACGACAAAATGAAATGAAAACGGAGAGTGGGTTGGACAGATGCCACAAGTCGTCTTACAGTCGTCTACAGTTCAGTCATGGTTTATTTTAATATAATGCTTGAATAATGGTTAAAAACAATGTTTTATGCACTGAACAAAAATATAAATGCAACACTTGTTTTTGTTCCCATTTTTCATGAGCTGAACTTGAAGATCTAAAACTTGTTCTATGTACACAATCAGCGTTTTTCTTTCCAATATTGTTCACACATGTGTGTGATTCTGTGATGAGCGGTTCTCCTCTGCCAAGATCATCCATCCACCTCATACGTGTGGCATATCAAGATGATGATTAGACAGCATGATTATTGCACAGGTGAGCCTTAGGCTGACCACAATAAAAGGCCACTCTAAAATGTGCAGTTTACTTTTAGTGTATTGGAGTGGGGAGGGGTTCCAGGGTCAGGAAACATGTCAGTATCTGGTGTGGCCACCACTTGAAAAACCTGAATGAGATGCTGGGATTTTTTTTGCATTCTGAATTAAAAAACAAAAAAAATATCTTTTATCTCTCCCTCTGTGATTGTCACTCCTTTAGTTTCTTGTAGAATAATATTTCCCAAAAAGAATCTTGCCATCTGCATTTTTAACTTTAGAAATGGTATTAAAAAGTACAGGTCATGCATATATTGTGATTTTCTCTGCTCGTCCATAAAAGTTTTGTCCATGGACCAACCTCACATTTATTTAATCTAATACATGTACCTTCATTTGAGGACTTGCTCGTACAAAGTTCCAATAAGAATACTAATAAAAGCCATTACGCTTACAATTATTTTGAAAATGTGTTGTTTAAGAGCTTACTTTTTGTAACCGGAGCCAGGACAACAGTATTTGTTTTTTTAAGCGCTGAGTGGTGAGCGGTGAGATTGTCAGGACGCTCGTGCTCTGATCCGTATTATTCCCAGGAGCCTCCTCTGCTATTTTCTGCTGCTAATGGGGAACTCTGTAATCAACTTTGTGTTAGTTTTTACACGTTTTATTAGAGTCAGAGAGATTTATTTGTCATTTGCATCTCATGTGGTACATGTGATGGAATGAGATTATGTACGCAGGGTCCCAGTTACATCAAACAATAAAATGTAAAAGAAAAGCAGTAATAAGATCTAAGATATGAACTAAGAAAAACATCAGCTAAATAATACGCTAAGCACTAATAGCATAAAAACATTACATTGAACAGCAGCACGAACATGAGTCTGTGTGAGCAGATGAGCACGCATGAACACATCAACATGAAACAGATCAGCAGCAACATGAAACGGATCAGCAGCAACATGAAATGGATCAGCAGCAACATGATGTGATTTTTCACAGTGATTATTCTGGTTAGAGATTCATGAGTCAAACAGCCTCAGAGTAGAAGCTGTTCCTCAGTCTAGTGGTTCTACACTTAATGCTCCTCAACCTTCTTCCTGAGGGGAGCGAGGCAAAAAGTGTGTGTGCTGGGTGAGTGGGGTCCTTCATGATGCAGGTGGTCCTCTTCATGCATCTGGAGGTGTAAATGTCTGTGATGATGGGGAGGCTGACTCCAACTAAACTCAAAACTCCAGTTGAAAGTGCTTTGCTTCATCCCTTGTCTGAGTGTAATTTGCGGTTTGTCTAACTTTTGTCTCCATCATTCACTTTTAAAAGTCCTCCATGGGGATTTTTCTTCTTCTTGTGGTATTTATTGACGGACAGCAAACAATTTTTACAAGTACCTGCACAATGTATCATTCCATTAATTTTTGTATTGCTGCATTGTAACTTTTGCTTAATTAATACTGTATTTCTATTTTTTTCTCAAAGTTGGTACAGTTTTCCCTTCTTTTTTGTCTTAGTTTTAAAGTCCACCGAAACAAACGCATTGTGACATTTTATATTACAGGTGTGTGCCGCCTTAAACCTGCCCCCTTTTAGCTCATTACGTTCTGTTAAGTTATAAAGACAGGGACCACTCAGGGAGTTTGGTGTACACCAAAGGCAAAGAATACTTGTGTAAAAATGTATATAATTTCATGTGTTTGTAGAAAAATTTTAATGTTTTTCTGCATTATTATTGTAGAGTTTTGAGTTTAGACTAAGGAAGTAATAGATCTAATAGATTGAATCTTCTGAGTCTTCTTTAAAAATAAATAAATGAAAAAGTCCAGAAAGAAATCCACTCAGTCTGTTAAGGCAAACTAAACCAAGCTCTCCGTCTGTTTTGTTGTCTGCTGCAGGTGATTATAGAAGATTATCTACAGAGAGTCAGGAAAACTGATTTTGATGTTTTCCATAAGAGCCTGCAGAACAAAAACCCACTGCTCCCCCTTCGCCTGTACCTCCGGTCCTGGAAGAAGACTTACTGAATTCAATAATCGTCCCCCTCCCTTCATTACAGTCTGATCGCAACCTCCATGAGGCAAAAAACCGAAGGCCAAAGACGTATTGGATTACGCTGGTGAAGATTCTCAGTCGTCCAGGACATGGTAAATTCAAAAAAGTTCAAGACAAAAACAACTGGACTTTATTTGTAACAGAAGACGTTTCGCTATTGAATTCTACGTATTGGATTCAGCCCTCAGAATCAGGTCTATAGAGACATTCAGACTCATTTAAACATCAGCAGCACTTTTTAAGTTCAACTCAGTGAAAACCACAAACTGTTGTTTTCTGAACCTTTGAATTTCACACCTGATTTGGTGTTTGAATTGTGTTTGCGTCAATAAATAGTGCTTGAGATTTGTGTCAAAATTTGTATCAGAAGATGTTCATATGTAAAGAAGTAAAATTGTGCAAAAGTTTAACAAAGTTAAGTCAGGTCCTCTGGACGGTTTCTTCTTGTTGAAACGTTTCATCTTGAATCCAGATCGCTTCTTCAGACTGAGGAGCTGCAACAAACTCAGTCTTATAAATGTAAAACTTATAAAACTTGAGCAAATATTTATAAGACTGAGTTTGATGTGGCTCCTCGGACTGAAGAAGTGATCTGGATTCAAGATGTAACATTTCAACAAGAAACCGTCCAGAGGACCTGACTTAACTTTGTTAGAATGTTCTACCTGGATTATTGAGCATGCATCAGGATGTGCAAAAGTTGTTTTGTGTCACCATAAAAGGTACAGTTTTTTATTTGGAGCTTGTCTTTTTTTGTAATAATTTGCAACTTTATTCTTGACAGTGAGGTTAAACTTCATTTACAAATTAAAAATTGTAATGATGGATTTTTTATATATATATATATATATATATATGATGTCAGGCACTTCAGGTTGATACTAAAAGCCTCCAAAGCATACAAAAAAAAGGAACTTTATTTATTTATTTTTTACAAAGCTCTTCTCCATTGGGTTTTCATTGTGTTAAGCCATTCACAATTATTTTTTTTAATTGAGATTTAGCTGATATTCTTTATCCTCTGTTTTGCAAGTTGAAATGCTTGACCTTAATGAAAAACAATTTATGAATACATAATAGTTTTGTTTTTCAATATGAGTAAAATTTACATCAGATTTGAGTGAAAACCCAGACCTTATTAAGAAACTGGTGTAAGGAGATTAATTTAACACAAATCTACAAGTTGCCCCTTTTGTATTTATTTCAGTGACAATTCCTTCATGGATCATGGAACACATTTTTTCCAACTGTTACCTATCTCATTTAGGGGGCATAACAATATAATATCCAATGAATAATCTTGGGTATTGTTAAAGTGGTTCTGTAAAACTTAAGTCTTCAGGTTTTTAGTGAATGAAGAGTTTGCACAAAAACATCAGAACAGTCAGATCGGTCACACCGTCTGCAGACAACACTTATTCACCGTTTGTCTCAACTAAGACAGAGAAAGCTAACGGAGTTCTGGATGAATAATAAAACTTGTTTGTCTGGGGCAGCTTAGCTTATATTTATGATATGTTTTGGGGTTAATATAATATTTTGGGGGGTTAACTGATGGAGTGAATTTGCAGCAGCTAATGTGTATCTCAAAACTTGTGACAGGATGTCATTTACCTGACACGTGCAGCCACGCCACACTGGGCTGTCAGCTTTAGTGTCTGCTGACGTTTCTGTAACAGTTACAAAAACAGACTTATATTATTATTAATATTTTTACATGGTTCAGAGACATTTGAGTTGAGTCGTTTAAGCTTAATTACCTAATTCTGTGTCACTATCTTGTAATGACGGTGTGTTGAATTGGGTAATTTTAATGCAGCATAGTGCTGCTCAGGCTGTCATTATCTGAGTGACACACATTATAGCCCACAGTGGGTCCAAAAACAATCAGAATAAACATTAACCAAATGTAAACTCAGTGTAATTCACTTTGATTAATGAAATCCAGTTAAATTGAACGTTTCTATCGAGAAGGATTCTCATAAACAGTTCAGCTGAAAAACACTCAAAACATAAAAAACTTGAAGCTTTTCCCAAGAATTGATGTTATTTTTTTAATTAGCTAGCAGCTGAGCCAACTTTATTTTATTTTTGTTTACCCTGAGACATCCACGGAGCTGCTGGTCTGCGATCATCTAAGTTCAGTCGGAGGTCCGACAGCTTGGCTCTGGATAAATTATGTTCAAACTACAAAACACGTGAAGATTAAAGTACAGACCTTTTGAAGGTGGTCCAAGAAAAAAAAAAGTTTTTCAAGTGCATTTGTACTTGCAAGCTCAGATTTTAGGAGAGGATACATAAATATACACAGACCGTACGACATGCATAGATGTATACGCATGAAAACCAGTCAGAAAAAAGCCTCGAGCCGTATTACCTGCTCACTTTTATATCCCTCTTAGCTCAGAGTTCTACATAGTTCTGGGGGAGTCCTTGAAGCCAGCTGCAGTCTTCTTGCATAGCACTCAGTTTACACAAACATATGGTTCATGGGCAGAGATAAGATAGTGTCTTGGGAGATGGTTTTGGGCTTATTCTCAGCGCAGAGGGGAAGAACGCTCTCAGTCATAGTAATAAAAACATCCATGACCTTTGAGCAAAAATTCCCTCACAGTTAATAACTGGTATGATCAACCTCTCACTGTCATACAGACACTGAAACTTGTGGGAGAAAGTGTCAATTGTGAGTCTATCATAAAATCTAATCATGCCTTATGTATCGAGATTAAATGCCTTCACCTTATTTTGAAAACACATTAAAGCTTTTACTTTTTAGACTGATCACTCTGAAGCTTACAGCTGCTTGCCCTCTACACTACAGCAAAATTTAAAAAGTTAACTTGGACCAAAACTATGGTTTGTGTACAATACAATGTATACTTTCTATGTCTTAAGAGATAAAACCAAATAGATAAACACATTTAATAATTTAACAAAATATAATAAAAAAAAAGAGGCAAAAATAGTGTGTTTTCAGCTGAACTTTGCCTTTTTTTTTAAAAAAGTGGGATATAAAGCAGCTCTGGTGTATCGATTTGCTCCGATCCCTACACGAAGTGAAGTATTATGGGTAAAAAGATTCCATTCAGTTCTGTGTGGAGGTAACATGTGGACTAACGGAAAACTTGCAGGTAAATCATGCATCACATGGTTTCACTCTGATTCTTTTTTTCTTCTGTTTTCTGTATCGGGCTGAAAACCAACAACAGGAAAAGCAAAATGATTAAACCTTTTAAATGGATGCATTTCAGAAAAAATATATATTTTTGCTCCTCTGTGGATGAACTGCAGCAAGTGTGTGTTTTTAGCAACAGCAGCTGAATAACTTTGAATTGTCGATAAATTCACAGCAAATCAAAATCATCCAATTTTTATGGGAGGAAACCTGCCTCTGAGGTTATGAACCATCCAGGTGATCTACTGAAAACCATTATCTTGGACACTTGCAGCGTCTCAGACTGAAGAAGTCATTTGGATAAAACGTTTCAACAAAGAGGACTCCGTCCAGAGGACCTGACTCAACCTGGTTCGATTTATCCGGAACAATTCTAGCAGGTCATATTTAAAACCTGTCATCATCTGCTATAAAAGCGCTTTAACGCATGTTTTATGTGTTTCTAAAGTTTTTTATTTTTGGTCCTTTCAACACATTATTTGAACATTTTCATAAATGCAGTTTAACCCGATAAGATATTTAAAATCTTTTCCAAAAAGCAGAATAAAAGTCAACGTTATTGACCTCATCAGAATTTTATTTTGGAAAAACATGAGCAGTTTTCATCTTTCTTTGTTTCTCCTCTCCCATGGACACCATCTGTGAGCTTCAAAGCTCCGTCCTCCAGTGTAAAAATGTGTTTGCACTTCTTTAGATGACAACCAACAAGCAGCTCCTGAAACCTGAACACAAGAAATTTTTCTGACATTCTTCTTTCATTGTGTGACAAAATATGAAAGTACAAATGTAAAACAATATTCCTTTCTTACTTTTCTTTCTTTTAAAACAAAGTTGTCTTTCTGTGTCTTATGCTGCAAAATTTCATAAATGTTTCTGACCCCAAGAAATGCACCTGCAGGCATTTATCAAAGCTGAAATAATTTTGATTAAAGTTCACCAATATAGATCTTTACTTTGTGTTTTGACTTGGCAGGTGCCTGTTTAGGCCTTAATGAAGCTTCATGGCCTTTGCCTTAAACTGTCACTGTCGGCACAGAGATCTGTAATTACCGGCTGCGACCCGGGGAGCCTCACTGTTTACATCAGCCCATGAAGTAGCTTCATACTGCACGGAGCAGTGAAGCCATTAATTAGGCTCTATCTGCCTCGTCCTGAGTAATTAAAGTCAGCGAAGGAGACATTTATTCACCTTCACTTTAACAAAGTCACTGAAGGCTGCCCTCACATCAAAGTTATGAAGAATTTTGGAAGACCCTGACAACAAGTAAACACTGAAAAGAAAAAAAAAATCAACTGTACATGATTTTAAAGTTAAGTTTTAACATATGGGAATCCTAAAAGTAGTTCAGATAAGCTAAAAGTTTTCACAAGTGGATATTGATCCATTTTAGAGGCGCTCCATTTTTCTTTATTCTAATCCATGGCAAAAGACTGCTACTGTTTAATAATCTTCCAATAGATTGCAGTATTGGTTCTGTAAACTACAAAATTTATCTCGAAACTACTGGTGAGCAGGTCGGCTTTGAAGGACCACTTTTTAAAAGAACGCTTTATTTGAACATGGGTATTGAACTGACAGGAACAAAGTCCATGCTCAATAATCCAGGTATACAATCCAACAATTTTCAGTCAGGTCAACTGGACAGTTTCTTTTATTTGTTGTGCTGAAACATTTCACCTTCCATCCAGAAGCTGCATGTTAGTACTTAAATAGCCCACCTTTCTATGGGATCTGCGATAAACATGAATGGCTCAGTCGATCCAAGGCTGATGCTGATGGGCGTCCTTTTGATTCTGGCAGATCCTGATCATCCACTCATGGTTAGTTCAGGTTACTTCCATCTGGACGCAGGGATCTGCTGCCCAGGACAAACAAACTAGAAAACTCATTCATCCCTGTAGCGTTCAGGCTTCTCAACAAACATTGATGATTTCTGTACTGTTACTTTAATGTCTCACTGTCTTTAGTGTAAAGGTTTTATGTGCCTACTGACTGTGAAACAATGTGTCCCTTGGGAATAATAAAGATTCTTGAACTTGAACTTAATATGG